CAGACTAGCTTTTTATGATCAGATGGAGTCCCACAAAGTAACAAGCGCTACTGGCAGTATCAGTTATAATACATTTCCGTATAAAAGACCCTTATTATTATAGATTTGCTACGTAAGTAGCTAATAATAACTCTACCTTGTGCCCTTTTGGTCTATTGTTGAAGAAACAGTCCCACAATGGGCCACAAATTTATACAAGAGCAAGAACTATTGCGCCTGTGTTTACATAGATAAGAGAGCCAAGCGCACAAACAAGGATAGCTCGCGCCTATTTATAGAATGCGTGGGCGGTTTCCAATCCCTGTGGGTGTAATATCTATGAATCTACCAAGTACCAATACCAAAGCATCACGTGATGTACGCTGGCTATGGAAGTGAAGCTGTATCTTGCATTGTGCTTCTCTTTGATGCAGATAGTTGAAAGTAAGTACAGAAAAGATTAGACGAGACTACTTCAATGATTTTTATAGGTATATTCAGTATTGTACCAGTGACACAATATGTATATGTCAATGATACTGCGACATTTGAATGTGCTACTAACTTGACTGGATATACCCTCTCATTCTTTTATGGAACTGATGTAATGCCAACTGAAACTGATTTACCTAATGGAGGAAAGAGGACAACATTTACTGCTACTAGGGAAATAAATGGTACTAACATTGTATGTGCTGCTCGTATGGGAATCATGATAAATACCACTCAAACAGCTTACATTTATATTGAAGGTATATATTATAACAATAGTTGTAACAATTGTTTCATTGTGAATTATTCCCAGGTCCACCTGATAGTGTCAGTAGTTTAACAGGATATCAGTTAGATTCTTGTTGTATGTTTATCGGTTGGTATCCTCCATTCACACTACCAGGACTAACAGTACAGTATATAATCAGTGTAGGAACTGATCAACAGTACCTTAATGACTATATCACTAACTACACTTACTGTCCAATGAACCCAACCAATAAACAATATCTGTTTAACATTACAACTACTAATAAAGCTGGGAATGGATCTACTAGTAATATAACTGTTGGATTTCAATCAGGTTAAATAGTGATACATACACTTTAATTTACTTTCTTACTACAGATGCACAAGTAGTAGTTACATATAATCACAGCAATACATATAGAACAGATAATAATTGGACCTTAAATTATCAATTATCAGTTAGTAAAAGTTAACATTGAAGCATAAGTGATTAAATGATTTATTAGTGTAGTAAACCTGTTATTAATAATGTAACCAGTTGCAATGTGGACAATAGCACTGACTGTTACTCTACAGAGAATATTGTAATCAATGATTTAACTCTTACTGTAACAATTGAACTCCCGCCTTGTATGTCTTTTAATATTCAAGTCATTTTAGAGTATAATAATAATGGACAGATATTTGAAATTAAAAATGAAACTAAAATAAGTAAGTCACATAATTGTTATCTTACATGATAGTTTATTATCACTGTTTACATGTAGGTACACATAATATTCAAAACATAACAATAGAATCAATCATTATTGACAAAGTGTGCTTTGAGCTTCAATATATTAATGGCAGTACTGCCAATAGCACTAGGTTTCAGTTTACTGCAACTAATGGGGAATCTCGCAATTATAATAGTTCCAATGACAGTCTCAGTTATACTGACTGTGTTACATTACCAGCTGGTAACTGGACACTGTATGCTTATAATGAAGCTTGTGAGCCATTTTGCACTCTCAAACCAGCAGTTGTAATAACTGATATCATTATCACTATGAATGAGAGTAGTAGCAGTATAGATAGACCATATAGCTCCACTTCTGTGTTTCCATTGAACTTGCTTACAACAAATGAATACAGTTTGATTAGTGATAGTACAAGTATGGGCCTATTCTGCTTAATATTTAAATCTATTTTTTTTATAGCTTTTATTAATGCTGAAAGTTCAAATTTGCCATCGTCTTCCGTTCAAAGTGAACACACAGACTACACTAATGTTATTATTGGGATTGTCGCTCTGTTTGTATTAATGCTATTTGTGATCATAGCCAGTTGTAAGCATTACATATGACAATAACATTAGATTAGTCTATCATTGTAGTGCATGTGTAGAAAATGTGAAAAATATTAAAGACCTAATTTTGCTATCACTTTTAATAGGCACCATAGTAACATTGATTTTAATAAAAAGAAAGAGGAACCTAACTAAATTGAATGATGTGAATAACAGTCATGCATATGTATCTAATGAGCTGGATCAAACACCATACAATGGAGGTAATAATATGGTCTTGTTGATTTCTAATTTTATTGTATTTTCCACTAGTTCACATCATTGAAAATGAACAGATAGCTGAGACAGAGGTATATTGTATTTATGTTTTGTTAGCTTGACCATTTCATTATTGTAGAATCACAAATTTTATACTGTACAAATAAAATGGCTATTATGCATTTAATGTACTGTTATTCATTTATCATAATTATTATAGATGGTTCAAAATTTAGCTGGGTTAAAATATATTGACATAGAGCCAGACCCCAATGCTCCACCTGTCCCGCCACCATTTGACCCTGTTAGAACGGTATATACTGAAATAAGGCCAGACGATGAAATATACAATAAATTACATCATGATTTCAGTCATAAGCTGCAAGTTCAAGATGATAACACTGGAGTCTACTCTAGAATGAACCAATTCACTGAAGGTGTATATGATAAATCCCAGCATAATGGTAACGACAACATAAAACCAGCAAGGCCAATAGCAACTCAAGCACAGTATTCTGCAGTCAATGTAAAGCAAGCCACTGAGAGCCAAATACATGTATTAGGGCAGTACTCATTGGTGTCTGTAGATGAGAGTATGACTGGAATTAATGATCCTATTTCAGGTGATTTTTAACTGATTATACTAATTAGCTCTATACTATTAAAAATTCATTACAGAGCTACAAGTTACAGAGAGCATGCCCAGTCAAACAAGCACTGAAATCCCTCTTGTTGAAAAAGGTAACATTTTTAAAGATAACAAAATCATGAATACATTACCATACAGATTTAACACATAAAGACCTGTCTATTTATGTCATTCCTTATCTCACTGAAAAGTGGCGTGAAGTGGGACTGGCATTAGCACTGACTCCTCCCCAGCTTGACGATATAGAGGAGAACAGTCAAGGAATAAGCGATGTGTTTCAATTGTGGGAGGATCTCGCTACACGTCCATTTACATGGAAGACTTTATTGAACGTACTCAGATCTTCAATTGTCAATGAATTTAGCTTAGCAAATCAACTAGAGCACACACTTTAAATAAATTTCTTTGAGTGTTTTTATTCATCAATGTTACGTTGGTTTTAATATCAGTAATTTTTAGTAACAAATATACTGGTATACAGTACTGATGCTATAGTTATCACAGCTTTGTCAGCCCACCTAAGTCACAAGATTATAATAGTAATTTATAAGGTGCTATAAAAACATTACCATAACTTTCCCAGAATTGTGATTATAAGAGTAATATCAATATCAGTCAGCATGCCAATTAATTAAGCAATATACACATATAAGGCATAGAACATTGATAAATCTAACAAAAAGATGACAAAGTCTCTGTACTATAGTACAGGGTCATTGGCCAAATTTTGTCAAAAATGGCTGGAGAAAATTCTACATTTTTGTAATTTTTCTGATACATATACATGTTTTTATGTTGTATTTCAAGTTTGGGCTAATTTAATGAAAACTGGATTTTTATGAATTTTAAAGTTACTGAAAATTTTTTTCAAAAATGGCTCGGAAAGAATTCTGCATTTTAACTGATACATGTACATAGATCTATATTTATGTAGCATTTAAGTTTGATATGATTCCGATCAAAACTGATTTTTTAATAGTTT